TAAGATACACGTGTTATAAATATTGTTAGGACGCCCCTAAATAATCCAAGGTCATTTTCAAATTACGAAATGATGATAAACGTTAAATATTATCGCTGCTGAAACGCATCACGATGACGTCACGGTGATATATGAAAGTATAAACGTCAGAACCACACAAATTCTTTGAACCCGCTTCAGAGGATAAAAACCACACTCATTCAGTCGTATTAGTTTAATAAAAAATAATGTACGACTCCAATGCCCTTATTACGAAGTTTAAGTGACTTCGGCCGGCTGCCAGATGAAAGGCCTCCAATATTTACATGGGTGCCGGATGTGCTGGCGCCGAAATTATTAGACTGGAACCCAGTGGGTAACATATCTGCGGAAGGGGTTACATTAACAGGCGAGAGCGGGAGCGTTGTCGCTTTGATTATTATGACTTCTTGATACTCCTTTTAGGAAAAATTACTCACTAACCAAATACGGCTGGCATTGATTAAGTTAGTAATATTATGTGGGATTCCTCTTAAATGTTTAATCGAATTTATTTCGATGAAATTTTTGAACATAATTTAAAAGCCTTATCATTACAAAATATTACAATTTTGTATTTTATAAAGTAAATCTTGAGGTTTTATGTGAAATTATTGTGATTTCCGCCACCACGTCCGCAACCGCCTTTACTACGATCAATGCACGTAGCGAAGGGCGTTAAAAGCGTAGTGCGCAATTGCTACGGCGTAGCGGCTACGACATAGTTAAGTCCAACTGTTTGTAGAGCCATTGGCTAAGTATACGACGTAGTTAACTTGAATGGCACAGCATTGACCTTTAGGGTTTAACTTATTAATACTTTGAAACAAAACACTGAAATTAGTAACATTAACTAGGTCGTGGAGTTTTTTATAATGGAAGACCTCAATTTAGTATTCTTGTGGTATAAGATAGATTTTAATTGGGCTCTAAGTTTAGTCTTAATTGTAGCAATTTGTTTTATAATTATTTCTATGTATAAAAGATGAATTCGCGTAGCAAGTAAAAAAGTCGACTACACAAAAACATAAATTTAAATATTCACTTATAATAGTTGGAAACCCTAAAGATTTCTATGTTTTGATACTTGTATAGAATTTTATATCAATTGCATCAATTCACATTTGTTTTTAACACTTTCATTCAAACATATTTCTTTTACATTTAAGATGCTTATAAATCTGAAAATATTCATCGCGAGATATTTGCACTAAAACACGCGTTCATTATGTGACCGAAAGCTTCACGCCTTGCTGACTTTTTAGGCAAGAGGCGTATTTCGTGCGCACGGAATTTTGCACGCTTTGGTAGCTCTAAGAGTAGGATTACTAACTGCGAATATAATAACGTAATAATTAACAAAATAAAATATAACATTTTACCGAGTACCAAACAGAGCTTCGGAATATACAGCAACGCTTTTAAAATAGTCTAGCTGCGGTCGCTCGATTTTATCACATAAAAAAATGATCAACCATCAAGTTACTATTGTTTCCTAAAAGAAAATTGTACATAAAACACACTATTGATCCATTAAATAAGATATCTCTTCCTAAAAACAAAGGGCGGCGCAATACGGCGTTTGCAAAAAGTTTTTAACAAAATAAACAAGCATTGTAAAGACACTATTCATTTCACACAAGCGCGTCATCTCTCAGCCGTTGAAGAGAAAATAAAAAGACGGGAAAACAAAAGCGCGCAGCCAAGATGGCGAATGTATAATAGACGACCCTTTTTATGTCTAGTCAAAGATACCGACGCTTTCAGCTTGTAAAATGGTTGTAAATCCTTATGAAAATTTCCGGTTTTCAAGATCTTAATTGTAAAGTTAAAATTTGTTTTTTTTTATGTATTGAAATAAATCAAAAACTAAGGGACCGATCAAAAATAATTTCACCATTAAAAAGCTATGTTATCACGGTGTCACATAGGCCATATTTTTACTATTTTTTTAATTTCACGCGGGCAAAATCGCGGGCAACAGTATGTAATATGATGGTTGTAAATCTTTTCGAAAATATCCCGTTTTCAAACATTAAATTGCAATATTTTAGAAAAGGTATGACTAATTATTTTACGAGTTTGTTTTCGAAGTTTTTTGTTTCTTATTTTATTAGGTTAACTGCTCAAATGTTCGAGTTTTCCGCATTCATTTGATAAAACAAATCGTAAATTTACATTCATACAATTCTTGGCTTAATGAATTTATATTCGTTTATTTTTCTTTACCTAATACAATTTCAAGACTACGAAGTTTATTATTAACTAGCTTATGAATAAATGTTTTCAAAAATGATTTCATACTTTAATCAATTTAATTTTTACATAATAAAAAAAAATGCCGATAATACCCATTATAAATCTATAGTAATATTATAAAAAGGAAAGATTTGTATTTTTTTTATTGAAATAACTCAAAAACTACTGGGCCGGTTTTAAAAAAAATTCCACCGTTAAAAGGTAATTTGTTTGTGAGTAACATAGGCTAGGTCTTTTTATTTATTTTTTAAATTTCACGCGGGAGAAGTTGTGAGCAATAGCTTGTAGTTTATAAGTTTAAAGAAATGTATAGTGAAAAATTTGTAGACGACTTGTTGAAATGAATGAAAAAGTTCGAATCAATTGTGAAATTATTAAATGCTATTGCGATGTTTAGACCGGTACAATTAGAACCAAACGGATTCAAAATACTGGGCATAAGACAAAATTGAAAACGACTCAACTCACTTTTTTATCCTATTTTGAATAAATGAATGAATGAATATGTATTTATTCCACAAAATAGGGATTACATAAAAGGACTTATTCTAAAGAAAACAACTATCCTGGCAAAAGGTAGCCAGCTCAACGTAAGCAGGATGGACTAAGCCGTTCCTGCACTGGTTTTCCGGTCAGAAACTTGTCGGTGCCGTCACCGGAGGATAAAAACTAAGTTAAGCCATTTTATATTTCGCTCAAAGTAATGTCTCACGATAGTGTAAACAATTGAATCAATTTCACCTTTTTTTGACTAGCTTGTCTTTTTTTTGCAGTCGATAATGGGTACATTACACGGTGTACACTGTACACTTTGTACACAACTGACTCACCACACGCTACATTCTCGATACGCAGGACGTTATATAATAAACAATCGAAAATATTTACGTACTGCATGTTTGTTTCTCATCACTCGAATTACACACGATAATTCAACAATAACTGATGTTTTCTTCATTACAAGAAAAGTGCTACGTGTATCGTATTTGTAGTAATTGTAGATTTTTCATGTGGATATCTCAAAAGCATCGGTGGCTCAGTGGTTTAAGCACTTGACTTGTAATCTACAGGTCTTGGGTTTAAATCCCGCCATGTACCAATGTGATCTTCGATTTTTCGAATTTTCATATGTACATAATTTACGCGACGTTCTTACGGTGAAGGAAAACATCGTGATGCATCCTGCACATATCGGCGAAGAAATTCAAAGATATGTGTGAAGTCGACCAACCCGCACTGGGCCAGCGTGGTTGACTATGGCCTAATCACCTTAATTTAGGGTAGGCTCCGAGCCCCTTGGTGGGGACTTATGGTGAGCTTGGTGATGATGATCTCAAATGATAAAGGAAACAACCATTTTCATGTTTTCTGCTTTTTAAAATGCGAGAAATTGAATATATTGTAAGTGCGTATAAGATAAGTCAACGTTGACTATTTTCACATTTTTAAAGAAATTAATTAAATTTTGCCAAGTTATCAATAGTTATTGACATCTGTATTTTTTCGTGTTCTTATTTTTAATTACTGATCAAGTTTTAATAGTGTAATTTTAATTTTTATAAAGTGTAATAACTGTTGTACTTAAACTGATTAAATGCATAATTATTTAATTATTATCATTATATCAAGAAGTATACTAAGTCCCAAACAGCGCGCGCACACCTTGGACTAAACTATCGCACAACTGTTTAGTCCCGCTTTGATTCCTATGAGCTTATATACAGATACACTACTCGATTTTTAGTTGTGCAACCAAACAATTAAATTTGCTGCGAAACAATTGACAATCGCTTAATGTGTTGCGGATATTTCAGTTATCTTTAAGAATATCGCGGAATGTAATAGATTATTCTTTACAATTGATGCGTAATTGCGCTTTATTTTAAAGCGAAGCTTTAAACATTTTACGGAATAACAGAAATTAAGTAATCTTTGTCAATATCAGTAAGTATTTTTACCAAATAAAACCAAAATTCGTACAAATCTTGAATAGAATTGAAGCTTGTAACGATAGATTATATTTAATATTCAATTAGCAACGAAACTTAAAACTAATTTCGTAGTTTGCATCAAATCCTTTGTTTAACTGTTCGTATCCAGACTTAAGTTCGTTCTTACAACGCGACTAGATTTCACGAAAACTAGAAATTGCGACGCAATACTATGGATCGATGAAGAGCATTTAGAAGATTAGAAAATTTAAATCTTCTGACTAATTTACAATATTTTACAGTTATGTATAACTTGGTTTAGTTGATTTTGGTCTGTGAATAACAAAATTGTAACATATTGCTCATTTTTGAACATTAACATGCATTCAACATTAAAGTACTCAAAACTGGTACGAAATAGAACAATCGAGTCAGGCAGCAAACAGTTAATGTTACATCCGCTTCAAAATTAGCTTTAGCTAAATGAAAACTATTTAGATAAGGCTAATGTCTGCTTTATAAATAAGACGGCGGAACTCCTCGTGAAATAAACTATCCACATACTGGGTTAATGATATCAAAATAGACGTTAAATGTACAAACAATAAAACAATCACTTCGACAAAAAAAAACGCCTTATTCTTTTCAGCGTAAGATATTTTCAGCGAAGTAGAATGCTGTAAAACGCATGAACTTTACGTCGGAAAGCGTGTAAACTAAACAATGACAAACAAACAGACACGCGCGAAAATAAACGTGAAGCGATACATTTATATATAAACGTAAATTCACCTGAAAATATGGTTCTCACTGCGGCCAGCTTCGCACCGGCAGCATGACGAGTTGAACAAGGCGCGGGCCGCGGCGGGCAGTTATACACACACGTCTGCACTCGACCGCGGGCGTGACGCGACTGGGACTGCCGGTGGGAATGGGATAGCCTCGCCCCAATCGATAGGACGTGTCCCCGCGCCCGCCGCCCGCACACGCCCCGCACTCGCCCGCTGCCCGCCGCCCGCCGTCCATACAACAGGTTGCGTGCGTGCGCCGACCATCGGCCACTCCGCGAACACCCCACACAAATGCACAACTGATGCAATTCTTTACAAGTTTTCCGCTACAAGAAAATTACAGCACGTCTCATAGGGATTCTAGGCCACTTTGGCTATATGTCTCTTCGCAATTATCGAAGACACCGATGGAAATGTACTGAAGTTCCAGTGACCGAGGATGACCCCAAAAGGTCGTCTGGAATCTTCGCCTACTCTTTTATTGTCTGCTGAACAATCGCTAAATAAATTGTTTTCAATCTCTTAAATCAATTTGTATTCATTTTTCATGGAACTGATTTTTCAGCTAAGAAATCTTCAGGATGTTCAAGCTTTTGATTATTTAAGCGTATTTATTGTTTATGTTTATTTCTTCAGAGCCCAAAACACATGGATGGCATCTTTGTCTTAACCCACACTGAAAAGGCGTTGTCATGTACTTGTACTGTATACAGGGAGATTGTACGCAGCAAAAATGCAACTAAAGTATAAATTCGATTTGGTTGAATAAACATTTAACCTGTGTTGTTGTTTAAATGAAACTTTATATCCTGCATGCCTTTCATTCTACAATATAAACACAACATCTCTGTTTGTTTGTAAAATATTGGACAGATCTAAATATTAATTTAATGGCTCCTTTGCTTGGATTTTTGTACTTCATTACTAGTTTTTTTGCACTTTGCCTTCTTACAATTCTAATGTCAGTCGTGATGTTACTGCCTTATTTTATCTGTGCTTTATTTTTCAAACTGTGTAGGATTTAATTCGTTTAATAAATTGGTGATTACTCGTTTATTTAAAGCATTGCTAATTTCATATGCATTTATAACTATGTGTCCCATTTTGTCGAATGAAGCTCTTACATATTCAACAGTATGCAGCATAGAGATTGCATGAATATTATCTAGTCCATGTAATAACGCTGTTAGGATATCGTCAGATAGCTATTGCTCTCGACTTCGACAGCGTGAAATTAGATATATAGTAAATATAGCCTATGTTACTTACTGATAACGTAGCTTTTTAACGGTGCAAGAATTTTTAAAATCGGTCCTGTACTTTTTGGGTTATTTCAATAAATACAAAAATACAAATCTTTCCTCTTTACATTAGTATACATATAGATTAATATAGCTTTGTATACGTAATTTACATATTTACCTGACTGGTTAAAAATATATAAACGTAAATAATTGAGGGAAAACTAGTTAATTTAATAACGAAACAATTTATGTTCCCCTCAGTCAATTAAGGTAAACGGAATAAAGGTTTTGTAAGCGCATGACAGCGCCCGAACCAAGTTGACCTATTTAGTATTCGTGCATTTAAATTACCTTACAGAGAGCTTTTGTGGTTTCAGATTTCAGTATTAATTAGCCGGCTGAAACGAGACTGAATTTAGCGGACGTGATCTTTAGAATTACAGAAGTGAAAGGTAGCTTTTTGTCTTTTTTATATAATTTTGATGAGCGTAATAAAGGTGAGCCAAATTTGTTTATAATAAGTTTCTTGAAATGTTGTTTAAGTTTTTTATTGAATACTAGTTTTCGCCCGCGACTCCGTCCGCGTGGTATTGGAAAAAACAAAAGTGAATAGCCTATGTGTTCTTCCAGAATATATTCTACATCTATGACAAATTTCATCGGAATCCGTTTAGCCGTTTAGGCTACAAACTCAAACAAACATCCATCCTTCCATCTAAACTTTCACATTTATAATATTAGTAAGATGATATGCGTTTCCTCTACAATGTAATTTTAATTTGGCTTAATTAATTTTAATACTTCAACCTAATTAGCCTTGACTTTAATAAAAGAAAAAAATATACATTTGAGAAAAACCCGACACATAATAATTTATATTCACTTGTATTGCAAAATAAATACTTTTATGTGTCAAGACTTCTTGGTCAATTACAGGAATTTCTTTTCATAATTTTACTGAAGATGGCGTTTCTTATTTAATTGGTACTGTTATAAATAACGTTAACATACTTTTTACTTACTTAAAAATAACATTTTTTTGAAACACTTGAAAAAATGGCTTTTTTTTAGATTCCAAACTGTACATTACAAAAAGCTTTGAATCTCTGTCAACGTTAAATTTAAAATTCTTTCGTATTGATAAATAACAAAAAAAATATTGGAGGTGCTGGGATTTGAACCCAGGACTTTCAGCATGCGAAGCAGACACTCTACCGCTGAGTTACACCCCCTGTACTGCATTCGACAAAATACTCAATGTTATTGATGCCAGAAACTGCAGTTTAATCAATTGACATACTGAAAATACATTTAAACTGTGAATTCCATTAAACTTTAGACGCGTATCAGATTGTAAGCGGTGGTTACGAAGCGAAATATTCAAGATTCCTTTCAGTACGTTAGTATGTCAAACAAAAGAGGACACTGTGAGTACCTATTAAGGTATAAAATTGCAATACAATAACGCCCGTTTACCTTTCACTAATCTACAACTGTTGTGCGATTGTCGATTGTTTCGCAGCCAATTCAACTGTTTAGTTGCACAAATAAAAATCGAGTAGAGTACCTCCATATAAGCTCATAGGAATCAAAGCGAGACTGAACAGTTGTGCGATAGTTTAGTCAAAGGTGTGCGCGCTTATTGTTCATCTTACAAAGACGTAGTTCCAAACAAAAAGGCCGCTCGGAACTTTGGAACGGAGCACGATGTCTTAAGTTTGACAAAGTTTCAGTCATACTTTGACATGGGTTATTATAACTCTGTCCGGTATTGAATTTATACTTTTGTGTTCAATATTAAGCAGCAAAAATGTATATTTATGATACAAATATTTAAGTTAATACAAAAATGATCATGAAATTATGATTTGCTGAAATTCTTTGTCGCTAAGGTATAAAAGAGACATAGCATTTAGAACCTTAATAATGAACATAAAGAATATTATTTTAATTATGGTTAAGTCCATTATCGATATAATTATTTCGAAAATATAATCCTTATCACTATCTTTATTAAAATAGAGACAACGTTATTTTGTAATGTTACGCCAATGGAATTACACGTTAAATGCTAACTCCATTGGGATTTGACCACGTTATCAGCATGAAAGGTATTTTCTATATGAAAAGTAAAGTAGCGAAGCTAATTCATTGTAATATAAACAGTATGTCAGTTGCTTAAGGTCGATATTTCCTTGAACATCGTAAAGTTATCCCGTACAGTTGGCTGACGAATCATTTATGCACGGATTCCCTTTGACAGCGGCTGGTGTCGACTTCAAAGGGTCGTATCCACTCAGACAACCTATGACATGGTTTAAAATATTAATAAACATATTAAAAGGAGCATAAATTAAAGCCAGCTACATACCTTCAGTTTAAACAGTCGAACTTTTTTTTTTAATAATATAAGGTGGCAAACGAGCAAGCGGCCACCTGAATCCACCGAAATGGAAAGCGACCGCTGCCCATAAACATCCACAATTGCAGATGCGTTACCTACCCTTAATTGACGGAGGAGGACACGCACATAAAGAGGACATTTCCCCTTCCTATACGTCTCCTCCACCGTCAAATCCACTTTTCCTTCCCATCCTATTCTCTTAAGAAAAGGGTGGAGAGGGAAAGGGACTAAAACTAGGCCATCGGCGCCACACTTTTTAGACGAAACGTGGAATTGCTTCCACTTCACGCCTGTTTTCTGTGTGTCTGAACTGTACAATAAATCTTACTAAAGTTATAAATGCAAAAGTTTAAATGGATGGATGTTTGTTAGAGTTTTTAGTCTAAACGGATCTCGATGAAATTTGTCATAGATGATGTAGAGAATAATCTGGAAGAACACATAGGCTACTTACACTTTGTCTTTTTTTTTAAATTTCATGCGGATGGAGTTGCGGTCGAAAGCTAAACTTATATACATAGGTAAAACGTTAATTGTCAGTTAACGTGTAGGTACATTAAGGGCTTGTGATTCTGAGTATGACATACTCAGAATCACTCCTATATTTTGCTACGATTACCTTTAATGCAGTTTAAGATAGTAAATAGTAGTTAGTGGTCGATAGAAAATCGTGAAAACGGACAACATCCCTTGGTTGTAAATATCAACACGTTCACTACGTAACAGGCCGATGTCGGCCTGCCGCGGTATTTAAGCCGGTGCGGACAAAGAAAACTATGCCCCTTTCGCTAGTTGAAAACGATTATCTCAGGTGTATACATTACATGAAATGTATACATTATGTTTCCACAAAGTTATAGCAATTGAATCTATCCTAGTGCTGGTGGGTCTAAATTGACCTGCCACGCACTGGCGGATATATCATTGGGGTACATTTTGGCCCTCCGCTGCACGAAATGAAAAGTAATGTTTTTACTTGCCGCAGTAAACGTGTTAAGCAAGTTAGTAAAACGGGCTGATTTTTATCGGCAACAGTTGTCAAACATTCAATAGCTACTCGTCTAAGGTCACGTACGCACTTTGGTCCAGAAGCACTTTAGGTCAAGTAACGAGGGATCTCCAAGTGCCTTTTTATCTCTTCCGGGTACAAATAAACTACCTTCATGAATATTAAACACAAACGCGTATCTTTTTTGTGTTTAGGAATACGAAGGAGATATTAAAATGTTTATTTACTCTTGATATATAATCTGCTTTAAAATTAGAACCTTTAAAAATGGCATCGGATATTATACTAGGAGTGGTCTGATTTTACAAAGAATATGGTCTTAGTCCAATTTCTTTAGTACTTAGTTACATCTTTTTAATTATGTAACTCTAATATTAACAGAAAAAATGTTTTAATTAAAATTTTAAAGTAACTACTAAGTAATGACGACTAAGGGCGCACACCTTTGGACTTATTACATAACTGTGCGATTGTCATTTGTTTCGAAGTTTAAAGCGAGCTAAATCTCGTGTTCAGAGTTAATTATTCAGCTTTCACGACTATAAATTAGTTAGTCATCTTTTATTCCAATCAGAGGAGGAACAATCTTCTTTTAATCTAGTTTATTAGATTTCGGCTCCCTCTAGTCCGTCACTCTGAGTGCAATTAATATCAATTTCCGTTCCAGGGCTGTCACAAGTACAATGAACCTGGGATGAGAAGTAAATGAAAACTTATGAAAACATGTATCCTTATGTAACACAGTGAAAAAGACGCATTTGTTTAGGCTGAATAAAATAAAACCTAGCTATCTTTAATTTATCGTTCGTATAACATTTTTTCACAATTAATGAATTATGAAAAGTCCTTGATAAGAGCAAAAGTGAACATCCCTCTTGACAAAAGCGGTCCTCAAACGTCACTTAAGCGTCACTTCCGTTTAGCAGCCCTTAAATCTTCGCAAGTACCATCAATTTAAATAAGTAACAAGAAGTCGACAATTTACGAAAGATCTCCCAAAACCCTCAGAAATATGTATAAGTGTTAACTATAATTATTTCGATATAATATATCAGACCTACTTAAAAATTACATCGGAAAATTATGTGATAACGGACTGTGAAAATAAAACTACATACAATTAAGTATATTGATGCCATTTATTCTACACATCTGATAAACTGTGTTCATTTGTAACAAGTTCTTCGCAAAGATAAATCTTTCATTATCTCATCCTCTTGGAGACTTACAACAAAATGCTGACTGAAGCCTCACATCCTGTACGATCAGCTTTCTTTCTTCCGTGTGAACAGCGCTGTGAATTTTCCCGCTTCATATGTCGGCATGAACGGCAAATACGACGTCCATTTCCATCTGAAAGAATTGATAAAATATCAGTTTAATGCATTAATATGGGAACATAATACTAAGCACTATATAGTGCTGCACGTGTACCTTCGCACAAGCGACATGCCGACGGGTAAGTCGTAGGTGTCGCCGAGCTCGCTGGCGCCTGCCGCCTCCAGAGACATCTCCTTGGCCCACGCCTTCAATCCACGCTCCTCTTCCGTGCCTGCAATTAAACAAACACATTAAAACTTAAGCTTTAAAAAGGCAATGGACCTTTACCAACAAATTGTACATTGTCTGATAACAATCCAACATGTAAAATGTGTGATGGAAATATCGGATTTTGCTATCTTATCTGTTAGTGACGTCATTTCAAAGCTATCTGAGCCTCTATCAGCCAGTGGTGGGACAGGCCCTAAGTAAACGAAACAACACAAACAAAAAATCAAACCAGGTATTAGATTATCCAGTAAACAGCCAACAATTCCGCCGACTAATATAGAAGTGGATAGCAGCACTTGCAGCACAGCGTCCAGCGCCTCCACGCCGGTGTTAATAATGCCGCTGTGAGCCGACATCCAGCGCGTCAGCACCAGCGGAAAGAACAGGCTGAACCCAATGATGTACAGGTTACGAGAGCTGTTCAGGTCCACGTACTGCAGCGCTGACAGACCTGGTAATAGCAGAGTTGAGAATTAACAAACAAATGAATACCAAACCGTTGGTTGATTAATCCAGTTAGATCCCAAGGATGTGACTAACATTACAGAAGCCAGTAAAAAACGGTAGTGAATTCTATGGTAACCTTATTATTGAGGAGCTAGAGACTTATTTTGCTTTTAACAGCACGTACCAAAAGCGGATATCATGCCGAACATGACGCAGAAGAGGCCACCGACGATGGGCTGAGGGATGATGATGAAGACGGCACACAACTTGCCCACCAGCCCTTGCACCACCATCAGCGCCGCCGCCCACTGCACTACCCGCCGCGACCCCACCTTCATACAAAGGATTTATCAGTGTTAGTTAAGACGTCATGGAGATTTTTCTTAATGTTTAAGGGTTGTTGTTAAGTCTAGTACTTTAGTGACTCCGATGGCACCGACGTTTTCGCCGAAGGTGTTGGTGCCGTTCCCGGAGCCCCAGAGGCCCGCCAGCATTGTACCGAGACCCTCCGTGCCCAGACCACGATTGATCGCGTGCAGAGGTGGTGGAGGAGCCGCTGCAAATGTAGAACGAGTTTCAAAGATTGCAAACATAAACATAACAAATCAAAAATGAAAGAAACATACGAACGGTTTTTTCTCGTAGATTAATTTATAAAAATTCAATTTTTTAAAGAATTAAGAGTCTACGATTGGTTTTTGTTTCTGATTTACACACTCGGTCTATTCGATCTTCTTCTTCTGTTGGTATACTAACCGCACATCCTGGCGGTGGTCGGGTAGTAGCTGATAGACTCGACGGTGCAGGCGAGCACGCCCGCCAGCATGCCCAGCACGCCCGCCACGCTTACCGTCGGCCGGCCCCACTGACCTGAGGTAAAATAGTACAAAAATGTTGTCTACCAAGGCTAAAGAGAAACCTTCTCTAATAATTGTAGATTCAATTTTAAATTTGTTGCAACATTAACGATTGTTTCCAAGATAAAGTAACCTGTAAAATGTAGATCTACCTGGATATGGTATTCGGAACCAGGGCGCATCTCGTATGATGTTGAGTTTGAGGTCGGTGCGCGCGGCGTGGCCGACCGGGAACACGTCCGTGGCCGTCAGCACGCCGCACACGGACCACATCAGCACTATCGTCAGCAAAACCTTAATACATACAACATTTAATTCCTTATTTAAATATCTAACTTAAATTAAAAAATTACATAAACTTCAAACCATTTCATTTTAAAATCAAAATGGTGTAGCAATTTAAATTCTGTGGATAACGCATAAAACGGAACGTTCTTCTACAGGACAAGGACAGATGCATGCGTGAGACACGAGACGAAGACGATATGAACAATGGCGGATTACTGTTAGTAAGTGAATATTACTGCTGCTTAAAATTATTAAAAAAATTAAATCAAAATAAAATTACTCTCATTTAATAAGAAATGTCCAACTATTTATGTTTGTAAAATAGTTTTGACCGTTTCTTTGCATAAACAATGACATTTTTCTATTAAAATCTATTGAATATTAATATAAGTTGTGCTTTGGAAAAATCAACTCACAGGGAACAGTTTGAATAGCGGGAACCATATGACTGTCAGTCCGGAGCCGCGCTTGTAGGAGAGCGTGGGTATCTTCACTTCAGTCATGCACTGCGAGAATATCGTCAGCAGAATGAAAGTCCTGCAACAAACAGCTGGTTTGTTTTGCACCAAACTGCATTATTCAGTTTTTATATCTCTTGTTCTAATCCAAAGCCATAGACGAAGTGAACACTTTACACTAAGAATTAAAACTTTTGACTGTGAAATGGTGTCTAAGTTCATATAATTTTAATTTTTGGATGAGATTTCATTTTAGAAATGAATTGGCGCTTGTATTACCAATCTTTATTTTAAAGATAATGTCAGGAAACATATTTTTTCAAACAGTTTTATAGGAAACCCACCCTTTTAAATAAACGGGATACAGAATTGCATTATCTGTCTGAAAGCACATTGACAAGGCTCGGATATCCGTAGTGCGGTGGTTTTACTGGCGAGCCTTTGTCGTGTTATTGTCAGCACAAAGGGTTGAGTGGACCGGACCTAATCATGACAATGCGTCGGACAAGGGTATATGAGATTCACTATTAAATAAAAATTGTACATACCCTAACAATTTCTTTTTTCGTCGATATAGTTAAGTGGACTAACTAAAAACTATTCTTTCTATTGCAGTGATAGCTTTCAAACAAAACAGAAAAAAATCAAACAGATAGAAGCGTCTCGACGTGTCAAATTTAACCGGTGAAAAAAAAGTTGTTCGCTATGTCCAGGCTTATATTAAATGTCTATGCATTTAAAAAAACAAAAGCTATGTTTGTCTTAACAAAAGATGTTACTATTAATAGAATGGACAAGTATTACAAAGTCGCAATAGACGCTGTATTCAGCATAGAAGCAGTTTTCTCGTCACATTTTTCCAGTAACTTCTTTATTCCGACGTGCATTTTGTTTAACCTACTTGCTCGCTCTACATTATAAACGTTGATACTGTTTAGAAATAACATTATAAATACATGTTTGTACTATATTTTTGACTTTAGTTTTTTAAAAACAAATAATTACTTTATTACGTCATAAACATCTAGGGTAGAAGTAAATTTTTAATTGTACAATACGTGGCATTTAAGTATGTACGCCTAGAATATTCTTTTGTACCACGTTCCGATTTAAGACGGGTTATTGCTATGTTATTAATATTATAAATGCGGAAGTTAAGACGGATGGATGAATGTTAGTTTGTATTTGTACCTCAAACGGCTGAAGGGATCTCGATGAAATTTGGCATAGATGTAGAGGATAGTCTGGAAGAACACATACTTTTCTTTTTGATTAATTCAACGCGAACGGAATCGCGGGCGAAAGCTAGTATTAAATACTAGCCATAATATAGCAGAAATTCCTCGCTTCATACAGATAAAAGCATTGTTTGTGCGAAGCTATATGACTGATGGCAATCATGACATGGTCGCGCTTGAAAGGAATTCAGTGGACATCACAGACGAGGAATTTCCGAATTCCCATTCACATGGGCTTTGACGAAAAATGAACTAAATACCGAGCTTTGTAAGGCCTTTACATAGTCAGTGTTGTACTAAGTTATACACAAGTTTATCCCTTTAACCAACGGGGGTGTAACTCAGCGGTAGAGTGTCTGCTTCGCATGCTGAAAGTCCTGGGTTCAAATCCCAGCACCTCCAAATGTCAATATATTTTTTATAGTATAATATATTTATTCTATTGTCTGTATTAAATATTTTATATAAAAAAAACTTAAACTTCGTTTATAATTTCATAATTTCAAGAAATTATAAAACAGATTTAAAACGAAACTGAAAATGTTTTTAAAATGTCTGCGCTGATTTAAACGTTTGGAACAAAGGTCGGATAAACGGAACGGAAAAAAATTCTTACAAATTATAAATGCTTTAATCCACTGTTCTAAACTAAGAACGGGAAAAGACAATTAGAACTTTTAAAAGTGTCAAAAGTTTTAGAACAATTTTGAAGTGTCAGAAGCACAACTTTAGATTTAATTAAAAGGCTTTCGAATTTAATTTTACTAAAAATAATTTCACACGGTTTGAGCTTTGAGCAAGGGTTAATTTTAAAACATGCGTTATACCAACCCAAATATTGCTAAACAAAGAGTAACTAAAGATTTATAATTAATGAGACTTTTATAAAACAAAGTTTTTATAAAATCATTTCCGCTTTCATACCGTATTAAATAATTTTCCATATAAACAACATAAAGGAAATTCAATAACCTTATCGCTTCGACCGGCTATTGCCAGGGCAACAGCAATTTCCAGGTTAAATCGGGACTGGATATAGGTCACGATGCAAAATCCAATAAAACCTCGCACGGGCGCATCCGGGATGCAGATGGAATCGATACAGCGCGGACTTGTTGCGAGGGCGCCGACCCGGTTGCTATGGCAACGCCGACTCCACCCGGCATATGAGCCCCTGGTACTTCTTGACTTGAACTGATTTTCTAAGACGAGTTTTAATTATGTTTAAAATAAATTCTGTCTTATATTTAAAACTTAAGCGACTACTTAGGGTAGCTTAGATTGACCTGTTATTCGTAGGAAAGCATTTTTTTAGTCTATACAAAAAGTTTTACTTAGTTCGTTGTTTGTCTAAATTTTAAACTGCTTTAATTCTTGTTGTTTAATCTGTGTAAAAAAAACTATTCACTTAAATATAGGATGGTAAGGGATATTATTTTATAGCAGCAAAACCTTTTAATAGAATAAAATTAGATCAAAGAAGTTATAATAAAATATAATAAAAACTATATTAATAGGTCATGTATATATTTATAAAATTATCGTTAGGTGTAATGGGTGATAAAATCAATAAAGCTATGCCGGCGGTCATTGACCCCCCGACCTTTCGGCCCTTGTGTCATGCGCGTCATAAACAAGGCTCGTTCCCAGTTCCCACCTGTACACACCTGTGTAACGTTTTCCTTTTTTTACCAAATTAACATGTGAACATTTTAAATGGTGGTAGATAATTGTTTGGGGAAATCTAAAATATGCGATTTTTAACAATTTGTAATTCCTTATATGCTAGTTATCGTTTTAATTTTATGTTTATATTTAATTGCTATTACTGCAGCATATTTAATTTTGGTAGCATTGTGTCTAAATTAGAATTTACTGTCTATTGTTTTTTTGGCACCATTTTATGTGCATCACATCTTGTCCTATCTTCTAAATGAGGTTTCTTTAGATGATATGCTTATTTGCTTCTGTATAACATACTAGTTTTCGTTATAGACTCCGTCCGCGCGTAATTTAAAAAACTCAGTAAGTAGCTTATGCGTTTTTCCAGATTTCATTTTAAAAATGTGCTAAACTCCATCTAGATTGGTTGAGTCGTTTCTGAGTTACCTTCTAACAAACATCCATCTAAACCTTTGCATTTATAATATTAGTTTAAGTAATATTCTAGGTTATCTAGGTTAAGTTATGTCCTGGTAAGTTCTTGTGGGTAAATTCTAATAATCTAGCGGCAGTAATTTAAGGCTAACATGTCCATGTATCACAACCTAGGGATTTGATAACCAAATTGGCTGAGGTCAGTGCCGTTGGCCTGATATTGTTAACTCCCGCCCGCCCCACCGCACCTCGACTCACCCCGCTTCACCCCGCCCGCCTTGAGCCCGGGCGGGAGCAATGACCTGCAGTGACCTGGACTGTGCTGGGTTTTTGTTCATACTAGATCCTAAATAGATACTAAAGTTACAGTAAATTATAGAGCTTTTTACTAATTAAAAACTATAACGCCTTAAATTTTGTTACTTAACAATGTCTAATTTGAAATTGGCTATTTGTAAAGAAGTAACAAAAGAAAAAAGCCTTTTCAGATTTGTTTTGAATTTTTTTGTTCCTATCTAAAAGATAAAATAATCAACAAAAGACAAATTAAGTAGAAAGAGAGCTCAGATGATAGACCTACAATATTTCGCGTCTTTTTTCTATGAGACTGGTCATGTTCTTTAAAAATATCAGTGATTTTTCACCCGATATACGAGTACAAAGCAATGTTTACCCAGCGGCGATGCCCCACTGCTGGGCGGCGGCCTCCGCGGCGTGGCCAAACAGCGTGAGCCCCACTAGCGCCACCGTGGGCGCGATCGTCAACGGCGTCACGAACCGCAGAAACGACCCGATGATACCGAAGTAACCTGCATGTACATATCACTAATAAAACTTATTCATACTAAAAACATACCCAGTCCCTTAAGTAAGACATAATTTAAATACTAAAGACACTAAGGGTATATGATGAGTGTTCGTAACAACTAAACGTACCACAGAACAGTTGAAACAGCGCCGATACAGCGATAGCCCCGGACAGCTCGCACATTCTGGTGGTCCACACAAGGCGTCGCTCCTGGTCAGTCATGGCCTCTAGCTGGTGCGGCTCCGGGCAACGCCACGCCGGCAGCCCCAGGATCGCCAGTGTCGGCACCAAGAACGAGATCGTCCCGCCCTGAACTATAGGCAGCCGACATCCGAACGTACACTGCAGCCATGTTATAAGACCTACAAATACACGTTATGAATTCAAGTTATGATAAAATTCAAAGGCTTTAGACATAGGGGGTGTAACTCAGCGGTAGAGTGTCTGCTTCGCATGCTGAAAGTCCTGGGTTCAAATCCCAGCACCTCCAAATTTACTTTTTGTTGTATATTTTTGAAGTTTTTTGTTCAATTTGTTTTATTGTTGTTGTTAATATAATTAACCATTTGAACTGTTCCACATTTACAGTAATAAAGGTAATTATGCTCTACAATAAACATTAAAACGATCATAGCATTTCTCATGGGGGACCGTTAACTAGATAGTTGCATTACGATATAAGGAAATTTAGTTGGAACTATAGTATTTTTAATTTAAATTAAAAAGTTACATGTAATTTTTTTTACATGGCATTTAACTGAATATCCTATTTCGCAGAATAATTAGTGAGAGCGAGCGCACACCTTTGACCAAACTATCGCACTACTGTTTTGCGATTCTCGATTGTTCTGCAGGCCATTTAACGGTTGCACAACTAAAAATCGAGTAGTGTACCTCTAAATAAGCTGTATAGGAATCAAAGCGAGACTAAAAAGTTGTGCGACTGTTTACTTTAAAGTGTGTGCATGCTCTAACAACATGTTAGGAAGCAACAAAGTAATTCTTTTTCCATACTTTTAAACAACATTCAAGGCCTTGTAAATCCATTGTCAGCCAGACTGTGACTAATTCTAGAGGCCACCGTTTATTCAGTTTGCACTGCAGAAACATGTATAGAAAACATACTGCTATCCATCTTTCAATCTTTGAAAAGACAGAGAAAGAAATATGTTGCTGAGCAAATGTTTCGGCAATAAAAACTCACGGTTATTCGTAATGTTAATGAGCATAGAACGTGCGTAAGAATCTGCTTTTTAAATACCATTTAAAAATCGAATTTAGTTTTGAACGCTGCCAATAATTGTTAAGTTTTTCCATGGTGTTTTAAAATTACATAAAAACCTTTTCAAATTACTACGACATAATTATTTATTTCGCATATTGTTAGGAAAATCTACATGTAAATACTTCAATAATTGCACTGAATACTGTAAAGCAACAAAACAAAACTTAGATATAGTTTCGTTGAAGCATTCAATTCCTTGATTATACATTCCACTGACGTCAAAGGAATCGCCTCAAGACTAGACATCATGTGTTACCCGCCTTTGATGTGAGACGAGGGTACAAGTGACACGTGTGTGGCAGGCATTACGTCTCGGAAACTATACTATGTTTCAATAAGTGATATACTACCTTTCGCTTTAATACAGATAATATAAATATAAATGTTTACTTTAAGATACCACTGTTAAACATAAATGTTGTCTCTTTCAGTCTCTTTCAAAGAATAGAGACGGCAATGATTTAGTGTGTTTTAAACTTACAAATACGACTGTTTAGATATATAGATGGATTGATGTTTGTTAAAGTTTGTAGTCTAAACTGCTAAACCGATAGTCTGGAAGAACACAAGAAATACCTATTTGTTTTTTTTTTTTTAAATTCCAATCGGAGAAAGTCGAGAGCAACAGTTAATAGTTTATATTTGAATTTAGATAATAGTGAACAAAAGCCTTGTTTATGTCTTTACAATTTCACACAGAGCCTTATGTTCGCGACTTTCTCCGAGCGGAAGTGAAAAGTATACCGTCCCTCAGTGATACTGTTTACCCTGGTTTTTACGGTATTCGTGATTAAAGATATTATATGCTAGATAATTCATACCCAGACGTCCTGATAACGTAATTACTGTTTCAACCTCTGATATGTTATCTTTATATGTTAACTCAGCCTTAATTCCGTGATCTCAAAGTTATCAACAAATCCGTTCATTCTTTTGTTATGAATTAAGTACATTAGAAGCATGAAAATGTTAAACGAACACTTGTGTGACTTATTAGGAGACTATTAAGTAATCCCTTAGTGTAGATATTGTGACAAATCTACACTAAGCTGTGCTCAGTATGCATTTAGTGACTATAAGGTGTGGCAGTTGAGTTTATAAATCTATCTTGCGTTTTAGAGACGAAATAAAATAATTGCGATTTTAAAGCGCGCCTTTGACTAAACTATCGCACAACTGGTTAGTCTCGCTTTGATTCCTATGAGTTTTAAGGAGGTGCGGACACTACTCGATTTTAGTTGTGCAACTAAACAGTTGCATTGGCGAAACAATCGACAATCGCACAACAGTTGTACGATTGTCGATTGTTTGCTTGTCGATGCTAACGTAAATCCAAATCAGATCATAGATTATGTACATCAGAAGTGCCAATAAGCACTTACCAGTGACAAATATCATAGTAGAGATGATGTTGGAGCGATCAGGGTCGGTCTCCTCCATGCAGAGCGCGGGGCACAGAATGAACGGGATCGCGACTATCGCTCCGATCATTGTTAGATAGTGCTGTGGAAGGTTGACCTTATACTATAACTAGTCTATTAAAAATATCGTTAATGTATCCTACTTAGATGATTGCTTCCCTTAGATTGTATGGACAAAGCATTGGAAGAATTGAAAAAGAAAGTAGACCAAAATTTCGCTATCAAAAAGCAATTCGTTACTTGAGGTTTAACTTGATTAAAACTTACTTAAAAGACTTGAAGCATCTCTTTTCTGTTCTATTTCATAAGATAATTATTGGCAATATAATGACTAGTGTTACCTGGAGCGCCATGAAGATGCAGAGGTACCATGGCGGCGTATCGTCGATGCCGTACGTTACGTTACCTTTGCGTTCCTCGCCATCTTTATCGGGCAGCACATCCTCTCCATTCTGCATAGAACAAAGGAAAAACAAGTTCTTATTGTATATCAACCATATTATATTGCAAAGTATAATTAGAGCGGGCGCAAACTTTTGATTAAACTATAGCACAACTGTCGTGCGATTGTTTCGCAATCAATTCAATTGTTCAGTTGCACAACTAAAAATCGAGTTGTGTACCTCGTTTCTGCTCCTAGGAAGCAACAAAAGACTAAACAGTTGTGCGTAAGTTTAGTCAAAGGTGTGCGCGAGCTCTAAGTATATAAATAAATCATTATCTACATGCAGTCACTAGTTAACTTATCCACTACTAGCTGTTCCCATGCGACTTCATCCGCATAAAATTATGAAATTTCATTTTATTGTTTACATTTGTCAAATTATCAATTGCAAATGTCAAAATGACATGACATGATGTCAAACCATGGCAACCTTGCTTCCTTGATGTTGGCAGCAACTTATGGTCTCTTTCCCACATTAGGGTTTTTATCCAAAATATTTACCCCTAAGTTTAACGGCGTAAAAATATACAGCCTGAAGCGTGACGTAAGTGTAAGGCTTTTTATTTAAGGTGATTCAAAAATATGATATGATTGTTGACTTCTTAGGCTACAAAGAAGTGTGTGTTTACGCTTTATTATATTAGTATAGATTGACATTGTAAATTATGACCAACTCGTATTTTTATGTCGACGGCAAGCAAATATAATGTTATCCAATATCACTGACGTTACTGGCATGTCGTAAAAGACTGCTAATTAGAGCGGACGCATACCGGAAACTAAACTATCGCAGAACTTTTTTGTATCGCTTTCATTCCTATGAGCTTACACATTACTTACTCGAATTTTAGTTGTGCAACTAAGCAGTTAAATTTGCTGCGAAACAATCGGCAATCGCACAACAGAATTGACGTCAACGCCATCTAGTGAAATTTAAAATTAATTGACATTAAAACCGAACTATAGTTAGTTATGCACGGCTTGGCAATAAAACATTATAACGACGTGATATCATAACATGATTATTATAAATATATTAAGGATCATTTACATAATTTACAATATACGTAAAAACGTCTTATAATAAAATTGTATGTTTCTGTACGACCTTCGATTTCATTATGTACTTTGTAGAAACATTAGCAAATAATTACATGCTTATATACCGTCTGCAAAATTAATATATTAAAATATAGAGTACATCACTTAATTAAAATAATAATGTAACTAAGTAACGATACTGATCCAAGTAATAAAGATCACGAAGCAGTCAAGTGCAAGATTTCCGAAGGTCATATCGTTCAACTTATTCCAGCGCTGTTGTGTGTACTTTATTCATTAGAGGTTATGTGTCAATTGTTACTGTTACCTGTATTTCCGTCTTATACATAATTCACCACGTGCTGTGCAAACACTAATGTAAAAATTATAAATGAAGTAATACTAAATAAAAGGTTAACTTTTCAATTATATAGTTAGTATTTTTACTAATATCTTTTTAAAATGTTATTTCCAATTAATTGGATAGTTTATAAATAAATATGACGACACCGCATCCCTCTGTGAATGACACAAAAATGTCAACAATCTAAATATTATTTGAAAGTCTTTACGCCTTGGATTACTTGCGTCTTTAAAGAAATGTTTTATCATCAATTTCAATGTTATAATTATGCCAATTAATGTATAGTCCTTTACTTGTTATTAGTTAAGTATTTTGTACATACTTTACCGTTATATACAACACTGAATCTTACCGAATTCACAGTTGTGTACACACACTTTAAAGACATAATGTTTCAATGTAACATTTGTAACCAATTCTATAATTTCACTTCAAATTGTGTTTCATATTCCAACAATGCACTTTCGTTAACTCAACCAAACAATTGTGTGCTCAATCTTTTGCAAAACGAAACAAACGAACGTAGCATAACGTAATATGCAACTCGGATCAAAAAGAACTTAAGTAAACGTTCATGGAATAAAAACTTAATGTGCATACAATAAGGTTTCGATTGCAACGATCGAAATGCATCGGTTACTTTTAATTTTGAATATCAAACTGCTTGATATTGAAGAGAATAACCTGGGATTCCGAATGCGAATCAATGATATCTCTGTAACAATCGTTTATGTTGCTTTTGTTAAAAAACAATTTTAAATTTCGAACCTGATTTAATGGAAAAATATCTGCAGACTATCAAAGAAAAAGACATAAACAGTCTCTTAGAGCGGGCGCACACCTTTGACCAAACTATCGCACAACAGTCGTGCGATAGTCGATTGTTTCGTAGCAAATTGAACTGTTTAGTTGCACAACTAAAAATCGAGTAGTGTGCGTATCTCCATATAAGCTTATAAGAATCAAAGCGCGACTAAACAGTTGTGCGATAGTTTAGTTTCAGGTGTGCGCACGCTCTTAATTGACATCGTGCTTTAATCTTCACTTAAAAACGAGCAAGTAATCTTATGTTCCTGGCTTCGAATCCGCCATTCCATTCCACAATTCAGAAGCAAAAACTCGAGCTTATTAAAATCTTACTAATATTATATTCACGCGGACGGTGCCGCGGGCGAAAGCTAGTATGTAATAAATATTAGTTAATTATTCTTTAGTTTAAATATGACAAAATTCAACCGTAAAAATACTGTTGTTACATACCAAATCTCTCAACACGTGGTCTAGTCCTATGGTTATATTATTGTGGACCATTTTAACACTGAAACAAATGAATGAGGTATACATATAATATTAATCGAGCATTACTGTCAGAATCTTATTTACTAAGATCACGCGCTCACTTTTAACTAAACTATCGCACGAGTGTTTAGTCTCGGTTTGATTCCTATGAGCTTGAAGTCTTTCGACTATCATCAGACATTTTGGGGTCTATTCTAATATCTTCTAGTAGGCGTGGTGTATGGGTAATTTAATAAGGCGATAG